GTTACTTGAGAGTTCCAGTTGGCAGAGCTCTGATTAACTGAGAGTATAAATGAAGAAACATTAATTGTTATTCCAGCTTATTCAAATGATTAACATAGCTTGTTGTTCTTAACTTGTGTCTTCCAGGCTCTTATTGTCTTCACCGTTGCTTGTATTTAGCATCTAGTATCATAAACAAATTATATACATACATATACAAAAGAATAACAATTGATGCAAAAGTGGCATTTTGAATGTAGCAAGCACGTTAGATGCCTGTGATAAAAAAAAAACTGCCTTAATACGGGACAATTGGAATAGTGGATTGACTCAAAATCCAGTTTTGTTCTTCTTTGACTACCACAAGCACAGTACATCTACACAGGGGTTTAACCCACTGCCCTCAGTGGCACAGTGGGTTAGACCCCTGTGCCAGCAGGACTTAAGACCGACAGGTCGCAGGTTTGAATCCTGGGAGAGCGTGGATGAGCTCCCTCTATCAGCTCCAACTCCTCATGCTGGGACATGAGAGAAGCCTCCCACAAGGATGGTAACACATCAAAAACATCAGTGCATCCCCTGGGCAACGTCCTTGCAGACAGCCAATTCTTTCACACCAGAAACGACTTGCAGTTTCTCAAGTCGCTCCTGACATGACAAAAAAAAGTGCATCTACACTGTAGAATTTATGAACCACTGTTAACTGTCATGTTTCAATGCTATGAAATATTAAGAGTGAGGCTCCAATGCTCTTTGATAGAGAAGACTCAGGACCTTGCAAAACTATAACTCCCATGATTCCATAAAGCAAAATAACAGGGCATTAACTGCATAGTAGGAATGGTCTCTTGGTCACTTTTCTAATTGGGTTGAAATCAACATGGATGCACGCATATATTGTTTCTAATTCTGGGTTGAAGGATGTAGCTCAAGCATGGGCAAACTTTGGCCGTCCAGGGCCAAAGGATGTCTGCACCCAACATTGTTGGAGAAGTTACACTGTGTAGTCAGTATTGTACCATATGATATCTGCCGGGAAGTAGCAGCCAATAATGAAAGGACCAAGGAAGTGACATCTCTGGCCCATCCCCTGTTCGGATATCAGCCAGCACACCAACACTTTAAATCAAGAAATTGTTTTCTAAGATCTACAGAGATACTCGCAGGAACAACTGAGCAAGTGAGAGTTCAAAAGTGGCAGGCTAAAACCCAGAAGCTCAAGCCATGGTTGATACCAAATGAGAGACTCCCTCCTGGGCACACAGAAGACTGGGCAACTTGGAAGACTGTGCTTTGGCAAACTGAAATTGAATCCAGACAAGACAGAGGTACTCCTGGTTAGTCGCAAGGCCGAATGGGATATAGGGTTACAGTCTATGTTCAACGGGGTTACGCTCTGCCTGAATCTACAGATCTGCAGAGATACTTGCAGGAACACCTCAGCAAGTGAGAGTCCAGAAGTGGCAGGCTAAAACCCAGCACCTCAATCCATGGCTATTTATTTATCATGTCAGGAGATAACCAGAACAGTTGTATTGCATTAAAAACAAACAAACAGACAAACAAAACACAAAGTTTGCAGACTTTGTATTCTATTAAATGTTCTTTGACCAGTATCTGGCCACTTGGAGTGCCTCTGGTGTTGCTGCAAGAAGGTTCTCCATTGTGCATGTTGCAGGGCTCAGGTTGCATTGCAGTAGGTGGTCTGTGGTTTGCTCTTCTCCACACTCGCATGTCGTGGATTCCACTTTGTGGCCCCATTTCTTAAGGTTGGCTCTGCATCTCGTGGTGCCAGAACGCAGTCTGTTCAGCGCCTTCCAAGTCGCCCAGTTTTCTGTGTGCCCAGGAGGGAGTCTCTCATTTGGTACCAGCCATTGATTGAGGTTCTGGGTATGAGCCTGCCACTTTTGGACTCTCGCTTGCCGAGGTGTTCCAGCAAGTGTCTCAGTAGATCTTAGAAAACTATTTCTTGATTTGAGTCGTTGATGTGCTGGCTGATACCCAAACAAGGAATGGGCTGGAGATGTCACTGCTTTGGTCCTTTCACTATTGGTTGCTACTTCCTGGCGGATGTCAGGTGGTGCAATACCGGCTAGACAGTGTAGTTTCTCCAGTGGTGTAGGGCGCAGATGTCTCACTAAGAGTCACATCTACTGTTTTAGCGTGGTGAGATGTGTTCCACACTGGGCATGCATACTCAGCAGCAGAGTAGCATAGCACAAGGGCAGATGTCTTCACTGTGTCTGGTTGTGATCTCCAGGTTGTGCCAGTCAGCTTTCATATGATATTGTTTCTAGCACCCACCTTTTGCTTGATATTCAGGCAGTGCTTCTTGTACGTCAGGGCACGGTCCAGAGTAACTCCCAGGTATTTGGTTGTGCTGCAATGCTCCAGTGGGATTCCTTCCCAGGTAATCCTCAGAGCTTGGGATGCTTGTCTGTTCTTAAGGTGAAAAGCACATGTCTGTGTTTTAGATGGATTAGGGATCAGCTGGTTTTCCTTGTAATAGGCAGTAAGAGAACCTAGAGCTTCTGAGAGTTTCTGTTCAACCATCTCAAAACTCCCTGCTTGAGCAGTAATGGCATGACCATCAGCATAGATGAAACTCTCTGTCCCTTCTGGCAGTGGCTGATCATTTGTGTAAATGTTGAACATGGATGGAGCAACTTGGTAGTTAGCGTGCTGGCTGATACCGAAACAGAGGATGGGCCGTAGATGTCACTGCCTTGTTCCTTTCACTATTGATTTCTACTCCCCGGTGGATGTCAGGTGGTGCAATACTGGCTAAACAGTATGATTTCTCCAGTGGTGTAGGGCGCAGACACCCTGTAATAAAAGGCATGTCTCATTAAGAGCCACATCCACTGTTTTAGCGTGGTGAGATGTGTTCCACACTGGGCATGCATACTAAGTAGCAGAGTAGCATAGTGATGATGATGATGATGATAATAATAATAATAATAATAACTTTATTTATACCCTGCCTCCATCTTCCCCAAGGGGACTCGGTGTGGCTTACAGGAGGCCACAGCCATCAATACAGTAAACACAATATAACACAAAAACACAACAGAAAATCAGAAAATAAAATACATAAGATGCAAAACCAATATAAATAAGCGACACAGCAGTATAAAATCAAACATTAAAACACAAATGATCACACTGGGCAGGGCCAAATTCAAAGATAAAATTTTAAAACACTGGGAGATAGGACAATGTACAGGGTTAGTCAAAATGAATAGGCCAATAAGAAAATTAATTTTAGACGAATGTATGTTTACTGTAACCAAACCACAGCTACGTAGCGACAGATAAACTATCAAAGTTTTTTTTGAGCAACACACATGTACGTTAATGCCGCTAGGCGTCGCTAGGGGTCGCTGTTTTCAAAATGGCGGAATCAAGCAAAGAGAAGGCGTTTTGTGTGATGACATTTGCTAAAACAATGTCAGTAATTACGGTCCAGCGAGAATTTCAAGGGTTAGGGTTAGGGTAGGGTTAGGGTTAGGGATAGGGTTAGGGTTAGGGTTAGGGTTAGGACCTCAACGAACACCTTCCCAGACGTTGCTGCATTCGATGCCATTACGTCGGATGTGCTGCAACGGATGTGGAATGAACTGGACTATCGCTTGGACATCTGCCGTGTCACACGGGGCGCCCATATCGAACATCTCTGAAGGTGAGACAAAACTTTGATAGTTTATCTGTCGCTACGTAGCTGTAGTTTGGTTACAATAAACATACATTCGTCTAAAATTAATTTTCTTATTGGCCTATTCATTTTGACTAACCCTGTAAAATATCAGGGAGGGCATCTGGGTTGAGGTAGGATTTAATTGCACGAACCATAAAACAAAGTGCTTCTGAGGTAATTTTATGCAGAGTTTGGTCAGGGAGTATCATACATTCAATCACTGAAGGCACATTGGAATAACCAAGTTTTCAGGCTCCTCCTGAAGATTGTTTGCCTAATATCTCTGGGGAGTGAATTCCAGAGGGGGGGGGGCACAGAGAAGGCGATACTAAATGAGAGACTCCCTCCTGGGCACTCAGAAGACTGAGCAACTTGGAAGGCACTGAACAGACTGCGCTCTGGCACCACGAGATGCAGAGCCAACTTTAAAAAATGGGGCCACAAAGTGGAGTCCATGACATGTGAGTGGAATAGAGCAGACCACCTATTCGCATGCCACATGCACAATGGAGGACCACCTTATAGCAACACCAGAGGCCCTCCAAGTGGCCAGCTACCTGTCAAAGGATATTTGGTATAAGGCCAAGTTTTTAAACTTTGTGTTTCCTCAAATCCATTGGTTGGCTCCTGATAAGATAAAGAAATAAGGGGTCGCGGCATAAGGAAGGTGGAGAACCACAGAGGTAGGCTCTTGTTATGATCCTGCGCCTCTTCGGCTGAGCGAAAGAGAGCCCGCCCCTCGCTGGGAAAAGGGAGGAAGAAGAGAAAGAGGAGGAGGAGGAGGAGGAGGAGGATCCGCTACTCTCCGGGAGCGACGCCCTTCCCTTCCGAAGCTCGGCCTCAAAGAGAGACAGCGAAAGAAAGGAAGGCAAAGAGAAGCAGGCAGAGAAAGAGAGAGAAAGACAGAGAGAGCAGGGCAGCAGGCTGGGCTGGCATGGGACTGGCCGACTCTCTCCAGACTAGGGTCTTGTTGGGCCTCGTTGGCAGGGGAAAGGACAGGAACCCGGAGGAAAAGCCTTGAAGGACATCAGCTGGGCTTCCCAAGGCAACGGGGGCCGAGGCTTCCTTGCTTCTCCTTCTCTCGAGGCTGCTCTCTTGACAGCGGGAAGGAGGGGACGAGCAGGAAAAGAGGAGGAGAGGGAGGAGGAGGAGGAGAAGGTTGTGGCTTGCAGCTCTTCCTCCTCCTCCTCCTCGGGACCCCAGTTCTCCTCCACCCTTTCCTCCCCTCTCTCGGTGGCCCAATGCCTCTCCGCAGCAGCTGAAGGGAGGGGGCCCTGGGAGGAGGAGGAGGAGGAGGAGGAGGAGGAGGAGAGCGGGGTGGGATGGCCTCGGTGGGTCCCGCCTGAAAGGAGGGTGGCCCAGGCTCCTCCCGCGGCGCCTCCTCGGAGCGCCAAAGGCAGCAGATGGATGGGAGCGGGCTGGGAGGCAGCTGGTGCCGGGCGGGAGAGGCTCCGCTTTGGGCTCGCCTTGGAGAAGAGGAGGAAGGAGAGGACGGAGACGGGCCCTGGGGAGCCACCATGGGCGAGCCCACGCGGGAGAGCCTGGCCTCGGCTTCCCCCCCGGAGGCCACCATGGGGATGGTGAAGAAGAAGCAGCAAGGGGTCAAGCGGCACCACCACAAGCACAACCTCAAGCACCGCTACGAGCTGCAGGAGACCCTGGGCAAAGGCACCTACGGGAAAGTCAAGCGCGCCACCGAGAGGTTCTCCGGGAGAGTGGTGAGCAAGGAGGGCTCGTGGGGGTGAGGGTGGGCGTGGGGGTGGCAAGGTCTCCACGAACGGCTGGCTCTCCCAAGGTCCACGCTTTGAGTCTTCAAGGCATGGCAGGAGAGGATGCCCTGAAGGAGGATAGAATCATAGAATCCTTGAGTTGGAAGAGACCTCATGGGCCATCCAGCCCAACCCCATTCTGCCAAGAAGCAGGAATATTGCATTCAAAGCACCCCTGACAGATGGCCATCCAGCCTCTGTTTCAAAGCTTCCAAAGAAGGAGCCTCTATCACACTTCGGGGCAGAGAGTTCCACTGCTGAACGGCTCTCACAGTCAGGAAATTCTTCCACATGTTCAGGAGGAATCTCCTTTCTTGCAGTTTGAAGCCATTGTTCCGTGTCCTAGTCTCCAGGGCAGCAATACACCCAAGAAGGGGTGACAGCAGAGTTAGGCTTGAAGGCACCACACCACAGGTGGAAAGTGGTCCTTCAATGGGCAACTCTCACTACTTCTTGGATGTGCCTTCAGGTCTAACCGCATCACTACTTCTCTTTGTGGCCTTGTCTTGTGCCATAAAGGACCTCATCACACTAAAGAATGAATCCACAACTGAAGACATACCTTTGCTCACTGGCTTACGAGGAGGAGGAATAGTAGTTGGTAATACTACTATTATACCTCTGATTAATAATATTGGTCTTTCCACAGATATATAAACCCATTGTCCTATTTCCAACAGACCTCACTACCTCTGAGGATGCTTGCCATAGATGCAGGGGAAATGTCAGGAGAGAATGCCTCTAGAACATGGCCATATAGCCCGAAAAAACCTACAACAAGGCAATATTGATAATAATATAATGTAATACAATATAATACTACTACTACTACTAATATGATATTATAATTATATATTTCATATTACATGTAATATTACTAATAATATTACAGTATAATATTATAGTACAATATAGTAATCTATAATATTAATATTGTGTTATGGTAATAATATAATATTGTATTTACATTTTACTTGTAAGCCGCTCTGAGTCCCCTTCAGGGTGAGAAGGGCGGCATATAAATAAACAAATAAATAATAAATAAATAAATAGTTGCCATCCGTATTGCCCTGCTCAATACACCAGCTCAATAGATATCTTGAGCAATGATTAATCAATTTGCCCTAAGGAAATGGGAAAATATTGTTTCTATTTAATGTTATGTCTGTTACAACAGCCTTGCTTTTGATTTAATTTTAGTTTGTTAAGTTATAATTCATATTTATATGTTGAGTTGTATAAGTTTTGTTAGTGTGGATGTATTGTTGTTGTATTCAGGCATTGAATGTTTGCCTTTTATGTTTGGAATCCACCCTTAATCCCTTTGGAGAGATAGAGCAGAATATAAATACAGTTTTATTTTTTATTATTATTGCTGCCTTCTGCAGAATTCTGGGGTTTGTAGTTTAGGGAGGACCCTTTAATAGCCTCACTAAACTACAAACCCCAGAATTCTGCAGGAAGCAGAAACTGGATTTAAAGTGGATTCATTCTTTAGTGTGATGAAGTAGCAAGACAACGCCACAGATAAGTAGTGACAGGGTTAGACTTGAAGGCAGGGCACAACAATGATATTCAGGATATGGGTTGTTGAAGGCTTTCATGGCTGAAATCACTAGGTTGCTGTGACTTTTCTGGGATGTATGGACATGGTCCAGAAGCATTCTCTCCTGACGTTTTGCCCACACCTATGGCAGGCATCCTCAGAGGTTGTGAGGTCTTTGGAAACAAGGCAAGTTGGGTTTATATAGCTGTGGAATGTCCAGGCTGGGAAAAAAACTCTTGTTTGCTTGAGGCAAGTGTGAATGTTGCAATTGGCCAGATTGATTAGCATTGAAAGGCTTTGCAGCTTTGAAGCCTGGTTGCTCCCTGCCTGGGGGAATCCTTTGTTGGGAGGTGTTCACTGGCCCTGATTGATTCCTGTCTGGAATTCAGTGTTGCTAATGCCATTGGGGTTTAATGCCATTAAGTGCCAACCAAGCTTGCTAATCACAACATTCACACTTGCCTCAAACAGACAAGAGTTCCTTCTCCCACCCTGAATATTTCACAAATATATAAACCTCATTTGCCCAATCTCCAACAGACCTCACAATCTCTAAAGATGCCTGTCATGGATGTGGGCAAAAGGCCAGGAGAGAATGCTTCTGAAACATGGCCATACAGCCCAGAAAACTCATAGCAACCCAGTAACTCTGGCCACGAAAGCTTTCGACAACACATGTCCTGACTGTCTTTGTTGTGTTTCCTTAAAGTCTAACTCTGTCACTAATTATCTGGGATGTTGTGCTGTGCTTTTAAATTTAATTCTGACACTACTTTTTTTGTATTGTGCCGTTTTCAATGGTGTATCTACACCAGGCATAGTCAAACTTTGGCCCTTCAGGTGTTTTGGAGTTCAACTCACACAATTTCTAACAGCCTACTGCCTGTTAGGAATTGTGTGAGTTGAAGTCCAAAACACCTGAAGGGCCAAAGTTTGACCATTCCTGATCTACATTGTACAATGGACACAGTTTGCTATCACTTTAACTGCCATGGTTCAAAGGTATGGGAGCCTGGCTTGAAGGCACAACACAATAAAGTAGTGACAGGGTTAGAGTTGGGGTGCATCCGTATTGTAGAATGAATGCAATTTAACATCACTTTAACTGCTATGGCTCCAGACTATGAAATTATGGGAGGTGCAGTTTTATAAGGTCTTTTTGCCTTCTCTGCTGAAAGTGCTGGTGCCTCCCCCAAACTACAAATCCCAGGGTCCCATAGCTTTGAACCATGGCAGTTAAAGTGGTATCAAACTGTGTTCATTGTACAGTGTAGATCAGGCATGGGCAAACCTTGGTCCTCCAGGTGTTTTGGACTTCAGCTCCCACAATTCCTAACAGCCAGCTTACCTGTGGAAGAAGTGACATACTTAGTCACTCCTTCCACACTGTATGGTGTTGTGCCATCCTCTTCTTTAGGGCTATCCCAACCTCAAAGCTTGGACATTGAAATAAATCTCTATTTTTAGAGGTCTTTAAACAGAATTGGGTTGGGTACTTTCCAGGAGTGCTTTCCAGGAGTGCATGGCCAGGAATGAACTTCTGGTCCTTTTCAATTCTTACAATTCTGTGTTTCTAAATCCCCCTCAACTGTCTCCAATTTAAAGGTCTCCAGCTTTTCCTTTCTGTATTTGCAGCCTTAGCCTTTTCTCTACTCTTGGCATCTTGGAAGCTGTTTTGTCATCTCTTCCCACCTTCCTGTTTGGAGAATGTAGCTACACGAGTGCTGGGTTGTTGTGAGTTTTCTGGGCTGTATGGCCATGTTCAAGAAGTATTCTCTCCTGACATTTCCCCTGCATATAGGGCAGGCATCCTCAGAAGCATCCGCAGACAACCTCTGAGGATACATGCCATAGATGCAGATGAAATGTCAGGAGAGAATGCTTCTGGAACATGGCCATACAACCCAGAAAGCTCACAATAACCCAGTGATTCCGTCCATGAAAGCCTTTGGCAATACATAAGGGCTGTTTGTAAAGTCTAGAATCTCCCAAAGTATTTGAGCACAGACCTCACTACCTCTGAGGATGCTTGCCATAGATGCAGGCGAAACGTCAAGAGAGAATGCCTCTAGAACATGGCCATATAGCCCAAAAAAATCTACAACAGTCCAATTTTATTTTTGACCTGTCAGTCTTATTATTTATTTATTTATTTATTTCTTGCACTTATTGACCGCCACTCTCAGCCCTAGGGGCGACTCGTGGCGGTGAACAACAACAAAGAAAGACAGGATACAAAATCATAACAGTACATAACAAACTACTACTACAACATATACTTATGCTAAAAATCCGCTTCGTCTAATCCTGGGGTCATAGCCAAGTTCGTAGTCATAATCCATTCTAACGTCGTTCCACAGATACACTTAGTTGAAGGCCTGCTCGCAGAGCCAAGTTTTCAGGCTCCTACGAAAGGCCATCAAAGAGGGCGCCTGTCTAACTTCAGTAGGGAGGGTGTTCCACAGCCGGGGGGCCACCACCGAGAAGGCCCTCTCTCTCGTCCCCGCCAGACGTGCCTGCGAGGCAGGCGGGACCGAGAGAAGAGCCTCCCCGGATGATCTCAAGGCCCTCGTGGGCTCGTAGGCCGAGATGCGGTCTGCAGGTATTTTGGGCCGGAACCGTTTAGGGCTTTGTAGGCCAACACCAGCACCTTGAATTGGGCCCGGTAGCAGATCGGCAGCCAGTGGAGCTGGTGCAGCAGAGGAGTTGTGTGCTCCCTGCGCTCCGCTCCTGTTAGTATCATAGCTGCCGAGCGTTGGACTAGCTGAAGCTTCCGAGCCGTCTTCAAAGGCAACCCCACGTAGAGAGCGTTGCAGTAGTCTAAGAGGATGTGACCAGAGCGTGTACCACCGTGGCCAAGTCAGACTTCCCAAGGTACGGGCGCAGCTGGCGCACGAGCCTAAGCTGTGCGAATGCTCCCCTGGTCACCGCTGAAACCTGGGGCTCCAGGCTCAGCGATGAATCCAGGGTCACACCCAAGCTGCGAACCTGCGCCTTCAAGGGGAGTGCGACCCCGTCCAGCACAGGCTGTAACCCTATACCCTGCTCGGCCTTACGACTGACCAGGAGTACCTCTGTCTTGTCTGGATTAATTTCAGTTTGTTCGCCCTCATCCAGACCATCACAGCGGCCAGGCACCGGTTCAGGACCTCGACAGCCTCCTTAGTAGCAGGTGGAAAGGAGTGACAGAGTTGGACGTCATCTGCGTACAGGTGACACCGCACCCCGAAACTCCGGATGATCTCACCCAGCGGCTTCATGTAGATGTTGAACAGCAGGGGGGACAAGATGGAACCCTGAGGAACGCCACAGATCAACGGCCGTGGCGCTGAACAGGAGTCCCCCCATAACACCTTCTGGGTACGACCCTCCAGAAATGATCGGAGCCACTGCAGCGCAGTGC